TTTTTTTTTTTTTTTTTTTTTGCTAAATATAGAGCTAATTTACTTGGAATGTCATCTAAGTTACTGCCTGTCATTTTGTTTATTCTGAACTCTCCTACATCTTTTTTGTTAAACGTGGTCATTATTCCAGACGCTAGTGTCAAAAAAGGTTTCAGCCAACAAACTTAGAAGAACGATGTCATCAAGCATTCAATAGGCTATTAATCAAATGTTTTGTAATGCTCAAAGTTGTTAATTAAAGATGGAAGCATCAATAGCCGGCTAGATGTATAGAATTAGTAAAAGATGTAAAAAAATCAATTGTAGATCCTTTTTTAATGACATGTTACATTTGATTATTATGCGGAAGCTTCAAATGAAAAATTGATAGCGAATTTTCTCAATGCTTTTCGCAGATTCTATACAATGATCATCCTATTAGCGGCTATAAAAATTAGAAATTAGTTGGAAAAACTCACCAGACAAAAACAAATTATGGTTTATCTTAATTAGTTCTTTAAAATTTAGAAAACGTTGTTTCTACAAAATCTATTACGTACATGTCTCATACTCATATCAAAAATAAAGATACTGGTGATTCACAGCTGATTATTTCATAGCAGTACAGTTTTAAAACGAAGCTTTAAGATGAGGCAATATTTTTTTTACCACTGCAGCATTGTGGGAATGTTAATCGCAACGCTGTTTGCGAATTCAGAAGTAGCCGGAAGTTTGACACAGATATCTCAAGTTAGGTGGCTGTTTTCTTAACAGTTATTTTCGCATTCGTGAAAAATAGACGCAAATTCAGAATCTTTACCTCAGTGTTAAGTCTTGAATTTAAGTTATAACAAATTACTGATAACTAGAAACAGTTTTGTAAGAATAATTTTAGCAACTCTTTTTCTACAATACAAAAACTTTATTGTAACAGTTCAAAAAAAAAAAAAAACAGTACTAAAATTTTTGATAATTTTTTAATGCATAATTTATGCAGTTTTTCTTTATCAGTTTCGTTCTACACTTTCTTCACACCTGTTAATTCTCAGCGATTATGATAACTGTTTCATGAAGATGGAAACCAGTTACAATAAGCAATTGTTTGAATGCGCATTTGAATGCGCCGAACAAGGAGATTTGAACAGCCTTCGTCATTTTCTCAGTTGCTATTTCAGTGCTGGAGTTAAAAGACAAAAAGTGCTGGTCAGTTGGTCAAAAAACTAAAAACTTTTACCTTTCATAATTTTCTTTTTTATAACTCTTAGCTTACCACTTTTATTTACCACTCCAAAGTACAACAAATAAGTTCAAATAGCATATCATGTAATTCTTACAAATGATGTAGCTATTGCTAACTGTCAGAGCTGTTTTTCTTCGAAGTCAATCTATCACTCTCAGCTTTTTTTGTTTCAGGTGCTTGAAGTATTGCAGATAATGCAAAATTTTTAACGTTATTCTAACAATAAAACATGCACTTACTGTACGATCTGAATTTATATTCTTCTTTAGGACAAATTACTACTGCTAGCATCTCGAAATGATGACTTTGAATTGGCTCAGTTTTCAATCACAAACGGTGCTAATGTTAATGTGTCTGGTAAATACAAGGTAATGATATTAAAAAAACACTGCTAAAAAAATAAAAATATTTAAAACTTATAAAAGTGTCTACTCTTAATTCAGTTTGGTGTTATTAGCTGATATTTGACAGTCTACTTTTTTAACCTTTGTCGTCAATAGAAGCAGAGTAAAAATAGTGTAAAAGCTTAGGTCGTTTAGAGCAGTAAATTCTTCATGTTTTCTCCAACTTCTTGTTAAATTTTTTAGTACTAGCCATGTGGCGTCTTTTACTTTTTTCTTGCAAATTAGGAAAACATGATAAACAGTCTCGAGGCCTGAAACAAAGTGAAAAACATTTTCAAACCTCCTGTGCAGCGTTGAACTTTTAAAAGTTTGATTGAGAAGTAGCTACTTTTTGATGCAGATGTAGAGTCACTCCATAGTTAAGTAATAAAAATTACGGTAATACACCAGTAAAAGCAACGATAATATTAAGAGTGTTAGTAGCGGTAGCAAGAAGCAATAGTAATAAGAAAAATTTAAAGTATGCAAAATACTCATTTGTTTTAATTTGCTAGAAATAAGGAAGCAAACATAACTTCTTTACTAGAAACACTTTGTTTAATCAAAAAATAACCTCAAAGTAATTAAAAACTTGTGTTTTTGAGTGCTGCAGTTGTTTCTGAATAAGCACAGTTTTGCACTAATTTCAAATTGTGTTTGCATGTAAAAATTTGACCTGACCTCTTCAGAATACACCATTATTGACTACATGTTACAATGGACATGGTAAAGTAGCGAAGTTACTGATTGAAGAAGGAGCTGACCTCAACGTCAGGAATTTATTCGGGGTGCGAGTTTTTTGAAAATTCGTAGAAATCACAATTTATTCTCCAAACATTCAAAGAGTACTTCTTATTGGATTTAAGGTCACAGTACCTTAAGAAAATTTTGCAGGTTGTAGTCGACGCTTAGCAGGGGTAATTGCAGGTTTGGAAAGCATTCTAAACCTCTATGTTTTTATTTAAAAGCACATTTACTAAGCTTCCAATTTGAATTGACTTCCTCTACTGCAGTACTCTAACAAGAATGACAGAACGAAAGAAAAAACATTCCAAACACTTTAAAAATATTCTGACTTATTCACGTGCAAAGAAAATGAAATTGATATGACAGCTTAAAAAAAAGATATTTTGCTTTTGACAAGTTTAGCAAACACCTCTGTGGGTCGCATCCTATAATGGATTCGTTCAAATCGCAAAACTCCTATTAGAAAATGGAGCAGAAGTTGGGGAAAAAGATTTGCTTGAGGTATACCAATTTCTTTTTTGAAAGAGTTATTTATTTGCTACCACTTCAAAACAGTTTTTCTCACCTAAAAAATAAATAAACTACCAAGCATAAAGACGGACATCTTCTAAGAAAATATTTTTGAGTGTAGGTATAACTTAACCAAGTACCAAACTGCATCAAACTGGAAGCAGAATGTCTTTACTGCTCAAGTTTACGCCACAAAAGAGTTTTTATAAGCACCTTAAATGACTATTCAGAATCGCTAAAAAAAAAAAGAAAGTTGAAGAGTTTCTACGGAATACAATTCTCCGTTAGTATCTGTGATAGAAAGAAAAAACAAAAAAAAAAATAAAATAAAATAAAATAAATGGTTAACTGCCTAGTTGTTATTAAAAAGTGTAGCGACATAGCACCTTCTTCTTGGCTATTTTCTGGTATAATATTTTATAGCACTTTCTCGTCCAGCAGATAATTTTCCTCTTTTGCTCTATGATTCCCATTCTGCGACGTTTCACTTCTTTATTTCAGTCTTATTTTTGTTAGCTCAAAATTAAATTATTGACCTCACAGCAGAATTGTTTAATAGAGTTTACGTCTGAGACAAATCGTTATTACCTCATTTTGACGATATAAAATTAGGTTGCTGGGCATTTAGACTTCCCAGTTGTTAGTTCTTACTTTTTTCGGACGTTCAGAGAACCGCATTATACGCAGCATCGGCGAACGGTCATTTCGAGGTTGTAAGGTATCTAGTAGAGATGGGAGCTGAGATCAACGAGAAGAGTAGATTTGGGGTAATCATCGACTTATGGTCTATTAATTAACTTGCTTTTCTAGAGCTCTTATTATTATATTCTTCAGCACGTCAAGTTTAAAGTCTTCCGATTTTTTTTGAAATACTTTCTGTAAAACACTAGCTGAGGTAATGTTCCATTTAATTTATCAAATTTCTGTTGTTCCGATTTATTATTTGAGCACAGTATCTTTTACTGAGTAAACAGTTGACAATAAAAAGCAAAACTGAACATCTATACCTTTCTTTGCTTTAACTATAAAATACGATTGAACAAAAATAAATTTTTGAGTAAAGTTTTTCAATGAAGTAATTATCCAGGAATCTCCTCTGTGGGCAGCTTCTGAAGGTGGGCATATCAAAATTGTACAGTATTTGGTAGAACGAATGGCTGATGTCAATGCAGAAGACACATTTGCGGTGAATGTTTTTGTGATCTATAGATTTTCTTATGAACAGTAAAAAGGTGGTAAAGAGTTTAGATTCAGCAAATCTAGATTTTTCATCGCGTTCTAACTTTTATGTTAGTATGTAACTGTGTTCTTCTCGTGTTTTACATGTTTTCTTGAATGACTTTCATTTTATGTCGATAAGTGCCAAAAACCAGAAGAAAAGTTTTAAAAAAGTTTGAACCATTAACTTCAAAAAACCAAATTTTTAGATTAATACATACTATTTTTCGATTTCAATCCACTTTTGCATATATGAGTTTTTTCTTGATTATACAATTTCTTTATAAAGTTGGACAGAAAGTGCAATCTCAGGCAAATTTACAGTCTAACGACCTTTTGGGTTTCAAATTCGCAGCACAAACTTATGTTTAACTTAAAGTGGTATTTTTTTGAGAAAAAAAAAACATTACAGTCAGAGTTCATTTCAAGAGGAATATAAAAAGTGATTATCTGTGTGTTTAACTGATGAGTCATGACTTTCTAGAATACTTAGCATTCAAGTTTTTTCACAGTAAATAAAAGGTTTTACAAATATTGAGAGGTAATCAACAATTTGAATGCTTCAGTTGCAAGGAACTATATTGTTACAGATTTTGCTGAGGAAACATACTAGTCAAGAATTTCATAGAATTTTGCAAAGTGCCACTAATAATTGTTACAAAACAGAAAAAACAATAAAAAGAAAAAATTTTTTTTACTGATTCTTCAGTCTTGTTTAGCATGCCAGAGATTAGGTTAAAGATATTAACTACTTGAGAATTGAGAAAAGTGAGTAAAAAATTGAAAAAAAAAATAAACAAGAATTTTAATATTTTGTAGAAGGTCAAGATATTTTGAAGGTTCGAAAACGACAAACAATTCCATTTAACGCGTTAAAAGATTCTTTTTCTGTTGAAATAAAAAACTTGATTTTCAGAGAACGTCGCTGTGGGCAGCGTGTGATAAAGGACATATAGTTGTAGTACAATATTTAGTGGAAAACGGAGCTGAGATCAACACAGTGGATTTATTTGGGGTACAATTCAGCGTAATTTCGAAAAATATAGCCATTTTGCAGCGCAAAAATTTTCTTCAACTTTTTAAAGACAAAATGTTAAAAGAAAAACTTTCGACTACTTTCAAAAGGATTTCTTAAACACTTGTTGTTTTAATTTATACTTCTCTGGTTTCTACTCTTCCAAAGCAAGGATGAAGATTTAGATTTACTATTTGTACAACTCTTGTGTCATTCCGCTTTTCTTAGGAGCTTCTAATTATAATACAAAAGTAAAGTTTTTTCGCACGTTGATCTAATACTTTTGTTTTGCCTTCAACTGTCAGATTTTAGAAAACGCCATTATCTGCAGCTTTTGAGGGCAGATACATAGAGGTTGTCAATTACCTTGTAGAAACAGGTGCTGATGTCAGCAAGGCAAATTTGTTTCGAGAGCCTTCAATTATGGCCTGGAACAGCAGAAAAGGTAGTTCTCAGGTGAGGTTTGAATACAAATTTGACATTAAGCTCAAGTTGACTAAATATAGCTTTCTTTGAAAAATTTTATGAAACTCTTTTAGCGTTTTTTTTGAAACTAACTGACTTTCGGAAGCATTTGCATAAACAAAAATTTGGGTACAAGAAAGTAGCTCGTATTATATTATAAAATTAAGGTTACTAAGCACAAAGACTGTATAATTTCAGTGTGATTTTGATATTTTCTAGTTAAGAAGTGTTAGCTTGTTTCAGTTTTGTAATATTGTGTCTATATCTGGCAGTGAACTATATTTCAAGCTTTTCTTGGTAGTAGTAAACAAAGCTTAAATGAGACTGGAAGTTATAGTGTGCCAGTTATCGTAATATCGTTCTAGCTTCGTGCTCAGTACTATCCAAACCTTATTTCACTAAAGGTTTCAATTCCTCAGCGTCATCCGTATCTCTGCAGTCTACATTTACATTGCTTTTCATATCAGATTTTATCTAAAACGTGACGTTTACTTCTGCAATATACAAAAATGAAAACTTTAGAAAAAACAGTTGGCAATTGAAAACAAGCAAATTAATGTTTGCAAGCGTTTCGTAAGGACCTGGGACGATACACATGAGAGGAATACAAAGATTGTCGCATGCATCTGTAACTTGGATCAGTTCGTTCGCAAAACTTCACTTTTTGAAGTCGTCTTTTAAGCTCTCATACAGACAAAATAAACAAAAATAACTCGTTAATTCCCATTTTGAGATAAAAGACAAGACAAAATGCTTGCAATTTTATGTTTTTACTTTCAAGTTATTTTTAAAACTGTGCATATGAATAAAATGCCATCTTAAATAACTAATGGCTTCAGGTGTTTCGAAGAAAAGAAAATTTTTGCTCCACAGCAAAACCACTTTTGCTGCAAATGCACCGTTCGCAGCTGCAAAAAATACAGATATTCATTCGATCTCCAGTAAGCTACACTGCACTCATGGAATGTATTGTGAGAATCTTGAGAAACACAGATAATGAACTAATTTTTGATGCAAGTCTTTGCTATACTTTCAAGTATTCAGTAGAGTACAACTTTCTGTTACTTTTGGTATATTTGATTTTAAAAAAACAGAGCTCTTTTTATTTTGTTGTTTAAATAATTTTTAGAAGAATCCTGGTCTGAAAATGGATTTATTAAAATTTAGGAGGTAACTGCGAAACAAATAAGACCTGCTGGTTTGAGCATTGTTCCCTCGACAATTACTCAATATGTTCAACTTGGTCAAAGTTACCCCCTGCCTGTACAACCTTTTACCGTGGTTTCAAAAAGATCAGAGTGGAAGCAAGTAAGAGGACAGCGTGTTAAATAGAAAGCTAATGCCTTACTTTTTTGAATAAATAACGTTTAAAGGTATTTTTTAAATTAAAGCTTCGAAGATCTTAAGCAGTACTATTATTTAACAAACTGGTTGTACTGTGCTAAAGTCTATCAAACAGGCTGCCCGGCTGCCTGGAGCGTATCGAAGCGTCTTTCTAACAGTTGTAACACGCTTCTTTTTTAGGGGACCGAGGCACAGTTACTGTCTTTGACTGGGAACGTTAGTCTAATGGCCTATTTCGCAAGAAATTGGCGGAGAAAAAATGAGAAGTGTTTGTTGCCGGTAAATTTTTGATTGCAGCGTAGATCAAAACCAGCGTGATTTTGAAAATGTTTTCTTTTTTGATATTTGCTGTAAAATAGCTGAACAACAGAAATAATAGAGCAGTTTTGAGAGACCAATATGCTATGTTCTAAACGAATTTCAGAGAGCATTCTCACATGGAACGGCCAAAGTTTCGTACATTGAAATGTGTTCTTGGTGGCCAGAAATACTTCGTGCATTTGCAAGGACTTTAAGCGTCGTAAGCTTTCACTGCTTGTTGATACAGGACAGTACACCAACTTTGAATTCATCCCCAACTTTTCTGCAAAAAGAAACTTTCTATAGTCATCAGTTTTTTTCTGACAGAAAATTCCTAAAGAGCGCACAATTTGGTACTCAACAGAGTGTGAACAATATCCTTGATAATTTATTTGAAAAAAGCTGTTATAATACTTGGTTTTATTGTTTTAAGCATTATAAAATTTATTTCGTTTGAATACATTTTCACTGGCTTCAGGACACACCGACATACAAAGGTTCTGTTGTTAGATTGTTCAAAGCAGCACCTTTTGCCATAACAGACGGGCTTGATATGAAAATAAAAGGAGCATCTATGGTAGTTCTTTGACGTATTGCAGACAGTTTGAGCGAATAAGTTTGTGAAGCTTCTGCATTGCAGCGTTCGATACGATATACAGTAGGGGTTTAAGATGAAAATATCGCAGTTTTTTTGAGGCTTTTTGAAAAGACACTTTCGTCAGAGCTAAATTCTTTAATAGCAGTCATTTAGGAAGGCGTACTTAAAAATGTCAGCTAAACTAAGTTTAAGCTGCGTTTTGTTGTTTGTCTCAGATGATGTCTCTGGCAAAGAAGTAAGTTAACTGAACGGAGGTCTGTTTTAACCAAAACCGTCAACAAAGTTTTAATTTCCATTTTTTTTTATTTCTTTATATGCTTCCAAAAGCCAGCAAAGAATTTCAAAGAAAGCTAAGCTTTTGAAATGTAGACCACTGTTATTTTGCCACGCTAGCTTCTCTCCAGTTAAAAATTTTATTTCACTTTTGGATCTTTTTATAAGTTTCTCAAATTTCTTCTGCTATAAAAGTTATGAGAAATACAAGAACGATTTGCAGTTGTAAAATAAATTTTTTATTTCACATACCTGAGGATTTCGAATTCCGCCGTAAATTGTTGTCTCGATAAATTCTGTATAGTACCAAGTTTTGTTTTTTTAGCTACACATAAGAATTTGTAGTAGACTACTAAGGCTGCTGTGAAGAAAGCTACCGGGTTTTAAGAAACAAAAACAACACTGAATTTTTTTAGAGCTAAGAGTAATTGTTTTTACTTTTTTAGAAGCCAATTTGCTTCAACTTCCATTTTTTATAAAAATTTATAGTGGTTTTTTTTGCAGCAGAAATCAACAACATTGCTTCAAATCTTGCAAGATAAATAATAATTTCGCAAGATGATTTTAATTCACTGCAATTCACAAATTCCATACAACTATTAGAATGGAAAGAGAAGGAAAGCCTTGCATTTCAGTAGAAAAAAAGAAAGGATAAAAGCCTCGCTTAAGCTTAACAACAGAACGCTCAAAGCAGTACTGTAAAAATTATAGGGTTTTAAGGTACATTAAGCTTACCCTAAAGTGGTGTAGAAAACAGTAATGGTTTTCTTGAAAGTTTTCTTACTAACAATTACAAAAATTGAAGTTTTCGTTTCATGCAACATTTCTTCTAATGAAGTTTGGGAATAATTTTCTGGAATACGTGAATATTAATATTTTGTTTCTTGTACTTCAGAAAATAACAGCACATCCTGATTACCCAGTCAAGTACAGCGGCAATATAACAATTTTGGTTCCACTTGACCTCAGGAGGACACTTACGGTATATACTGGACGTAAAATTGAAGTCAAGAACCAATATTATTGCAGACTTTTCAGTTTTTCTTTTGAAAAAACCTGAAATTTATGTCAAAATTATAGTTTAGGTGATAGAGCTTATATCTATTGTAAAACTGACTACTTTGTTTTGCACAAACCAAATGAATATAATAAGGCAGGCGTGAAGGTTCTTGGCAGAAAATTGTAAATCGGCAGTCCTTTAAGCACAGGCAATTGAAGCGCATTCTTTCGAACTTTTTAAAACACAAAAATTCTTACTCCGATATGTAGGAACTACCCGCAAGGAATATGTCACAAGCTGCAGTTATTCAAATCGTCTCAGATGCTGTCTACAAAAAAAATGTTACGAAAGCGATTAGCTTGTCGTCGGTAAATTTTCATTGTATTAAATAATATCATAATGAATACATTCAACGATGTTCTAATTGGAACTTTTAATAAAACACGCTACAACCAGGCAAAAAGGAGTATCTTCAAAATCTTTTTTTCACGAGAGGCAAAAGGCAGATTTGTATCTATTTATCTGAAAAGTTACCTTTGAAAAACGTTGATGAAGATGTCTAACAATCAGTACTAAAATGCTTTTGTACACTATGACTGCTTCGAGTAATGCGAATCAAATTGTTTGATTAACTGGTTCTACATTTTAGAAGCCACCAGCATTCTGCTTATATGTAGAAGAGGAGAAAAAAATGGAAAAATATTTTGTAAAATACAGACACGACACCTACACAAAAAACATTTTAACGGTACTCGCTTGTGTCATATCGTTACGGTAACATTCATGTTGTTAAAATTGTAGTTTTTGAGTGGTAAAAACTCGACTTAGCCATAAAAAATAACTAGTCTGTTTGTTATAAGTCAAGTAAACAATAAAGTAGAGGTAAACTGCATTATGAGATTTCCAGTGCTTAATGACACTGGGAATATTCCTGCAATCAGAAGTGCTTGATTTTTTTGTCGTATTTAAAGTTCATTGCAGAAGAAAACTTTCATAAAAATTTTATGACAGCTCGGAAATGTAAAATTTAGTTAAGAATATTTATAGCCTAAAAAAATTTTGCAGTGTACTTTGGCTGTGACCAGTGGTAAAAGTTTCTCTGCAGCAGTAGAAGAAGCAATTATTTCTCTGATAAAATTTTATGGTAGCCGCAGTAGATAAAGTTACCGTCTTCTGCAAGCACTTCTCTTTAATTTTTTATTGAATTAAACGTAACTCTTCAAAAAAAGGTTTCTTCTCGGATAATTTTTAGTTTCTGCTTGTATGACTTGTAAAAAATCAAAGTGATATGAGAGGTTACTAAGACTTTTTGCACTATTATAGCATTAAATTTAGAGTTTTGAAAAAAGTTAAGCTCACAAAATTCATTCAGTCTTATTTGACACAGAAAACTGTTTACTGTTTAAGAGTCCAATTTCTCCTGAAATTTCTGGAACGCATTCTTCTCGACTGGATAATCGTGTAGTTCAGGCTCAACCCGACAAGAAAATGAAGCATAAAATTGAAGTATGTTTGTTATGCAGTGCCGAAATTGGTGATTTATCAGGTTTTAACATTCTGAGGTCTCAGGCTGAAAAAATCAAGAAAGGAAAGTTTCTCCTAAATCGCATCATACAAAAAACCACATCTCTTTTTCAAATTTTCCAGTTTCAAGTCGGTTAAACAATGAAATTTTTCGCTTTTATATGCTTGCATCAGTTATGTATATCGTTTTACATCAAAATACTAGTCTTACAGTAACATTTATTCTTTTAATTCAATGTAACAGTTACTTACAAATTCAGTAGCCAAAAAAATTTTTTCTTTTTAAGCTTATTAACTGTTTTAAATGAAAAGATTAGAAGTATTTCAGGTTCAAGAAAATTTGTTATATGAAGCATCCGAAAAAGGAGATATTAAAACTGTAAAGTATTTGTTGAAAAACGGAGTTGATGTTGATAAAGTTTTCGAACTTGGGGTAATGTTCATTTAAAAGTCAACTTCTATTTTACAATATGAAGCATATTTTTGTAGCAGAACCCATAAATTTCACCATCGGAATGTTATGCTTGAAAAAGCTATCTTTCGTCATACTTTTTCACCGTTTATAAATAAAGATTTTTTAAAAATTGCAATAATTTGGTTTCAATACAGGATTACTCTGCGGTATTTCAACGTTTACGACAAAAGAGAATTATGAGAAGAAAAATGGTAAATCAAATTTTTTGCTTAATCATTCTCACTCAACAGTCGTTTTAGAAAACGGCCTTATATATCGCATCTGAATACGGCAACACAAAAGTAGTGAAATGTCTAGTGGAATATGGAGCCAATGTCAATGTGAAGGCATTATCAGGGGTAGCTATTCATTACAACTTTTACCAGCATAAGTTATTTGTTTTGCAAGTGGTCTGAGAACCTTACCAAATATTGTTTATAATCAGAAAAAATATTTTTTTTTAGATAGAAACATTTAAAATAACCATTTATCGAAAAATTGACTTTTTACAACAATAATTTTGACAAAGATAATTAACTGTATAACTTAAGTACTGCTTAAAATACTGAAGTTTGCATCTCAAGTTTGTGTTAGCTTTTTTTTTAAAAATATTTTAAGAATTCTTATTTGTGACAATAAATAAAAGAATAAAAAACTGTTGTATGTATTTAATTGATTTAGATAATTATAGAATTGTTATATTTTGCTGGTCAAAAAATTTTTGTGAAAGCGAAAAAACTTATCTTTTATTATGATAAAGCATTGAACTTTAAACCCTAAATGTAAAATACTGGTAAGTATAAAGAAAAATATCTACTTAAAAAAGTTTTTTAAGAAGTAAACTGAAGTATAAGTTAGCATCGAAATTAAAGATATTGCAAAAATAACTAGCATAAAGTTGAAAACAACTTTTCATGTGGAATAGTTTAATTAATAAACTTTGTATAAAATAATGAGTAATAGAAAAATGATTGATAAAAAGTTTCTTCAGATTTGTTTGGTTCTTAGCAGGCGTGCTCTTTTTAGACCATTGTACGACTTCTGATAAACTTAGTTAGATATTCGTTAGATATAAGAGATTATGCTTTCTGCTTAGCACTGTGATAAATAAATTCTAGAAAATGGCTTCTTAGATGCTTTTATATTTATTACTGTACAAAAATTTTTTGGTGTATTGACGAGTATCACAAAAAGACTAAAAAAATGCTTGACAATCTAACTACCTTTATAATAGAAAAAGTTTATTATAATTGAACAGTAGCTAAGACTCTCCGTCAGATTATATAATTGCATTTTTTGCAAAAAAAAGCGATTTTTTGAGTAGATTACAAAGTTGTATCTCTTTAAATGCAATAAAGTTTAATTCAGTTGAGATATATATTTTCAAAAAATAGGACAAGAAGAACCATTGTAATTTTTTAACTTAGTAATTCTTGTTGCCTAAATTGTAATCATTAATAACTTACTCACCATAGAAAGTAGGTTTAAATTCTTTATTAAGCTGATAGAATTAAAGCTACACAATTTTAGTTGACTCCTTTGTGGGCGGCATCTAAAAATGGGCACGTTGAAGTTGTACGGTATCTGGTGAAAAATAAGGCGGATGCCAATATCAAAGGCATATCAGGGGTAAGCGTGTATATTTAGGACTTATGTATTCGTTTAAATTTCTTTCGTAAAAATCGTTAAAAACGCAGCTCCGTAATCAAAGTCTATTGCATCTTTTTGTATTTTTTTGTAATTAATTAATTTTTAAAAAGTAAAATTACTATAGTTTATTTAATTGAAAATACTCTTTTCGGTCTTAAAAAAATTTTCATCAATGCTGATTACTGATCTTTCAGTAACTTCTCAAAGAAAATCAAGATTTTCTGATTTTCAGGAGACACCATTGCGAGTAGCGTCTGAAAACGGATATGTAGAAGTAGTAAAATGTTTGTTAGAAAACGGAGCTAATATTAATGGAAAAAACAGATTAGGGGTAAATACTATTAAAGTGAAATAATACAGCTAGTTTTGTAACAATTAAATCATTTATAATCTAGTATTATGGAAAAGAGACAGAAAGGAAAGGACAAGAAGAAAAAAAGAGAATTGGCTTAATTGACTAAATTTTCTCAAAAAAAAATTTAGAAAGACGTTACTGCATTGAAATTTGTACTTCACTATTTTCTTGCTATCGCTAACACTAAATGACCTTTATTTCATTTTTCTTAACCAATGTCTTTGTTATTAATTGTATTTCCAAGTTCTTCAAGACAGAAACTTACGTGTTATCTGGAAACTGATGTGAAATACAAAATTCTTCTTGAAGGGTATCTAACTAACGCTTTTTTACAATTACGCATAAATTCCTCTTTTCTTACTCCAGTCTTCTTTATGAAAACTCTAAGAATAATCACTCACTGCTTTGACTTTACAATTTAAAATTTTCATTTTTAACTAGCTTTTTCTCTATCTATTCTCAGACAAAACTTCAGCTTGCAAGTTTCTTCACACCACCTATTTCACAAAACTAAAATAATTGCTTCACAGTAATAAAATGTTTTGCTGTAGCGTTGATTTTTTTTTCAGCTTTTTCAGTTCTCTTGAAACTTATGTAAAAAACTCAAAATAATTTTGTTTCTGAAGTAGCCTAGATCAATGATTATTTCCTAACTTTAGGAAACACCAATTATTGCAGCTGCAAGGAAAGGACATATTAAAGTCGTGAAATATTTGGTGCAGAATGGAATTGATATTGATAGAGTAGAAACCGCTCAAAAGGTATTTGTTCGGTTTTTTCTGTTTTAAACTATTTTTTAGCTTCTAATCAAATTAGAGTTCAAAATGCTACTACACAGAACTTCACATTTTACACTTTTTTACCGTTTATTCAACTTTATTTGGTCGGCAGTAATTAAACTGTAGTATCATGCACATGTTGTTCTTTTAATAACAAACTGCAGCAAGCGTCAATTCCAATTAAAAATTGATTTTTTGCTGATTTTTTCAAACTTTTACATTATACAGGCAATACTTTAAATTAGAGCCTTTCTGTTTTCTAAACTATTACTTTCGTCTTCTCAAATTTAGATAACACCGCTACAAGCAGCTTCTGAAAACGGGCATCTTGAAACTGTCAAATATTTAGTCGAAAGAGGCGCAGACATCACCAAAGTAAGATATTGAAGTTAAATGTAGTTCAAGCGAAAATTATGTAGTTTTAAGCATAACACCAAGTCTCTGCGTAATAAACATCCAAAAAACGTAATGAGGCAAAACTGTTTAAAAATACTGTTAATTTGAAGTAAGCTTTTTGATAAAATTTTTTTAAATAAAGCTTCTTAATTTTAGCTTCCTTGTTACAAAAGTCGCTTTTAATATGAAAAGACAGTGGTTTTTATTACATTCAAATTACACATTGTCTGAATTTTTTTGGGTTTCACAAAACGTTCGCAACTCAGAAAACAATTATTTCCCACTTTTAGGGAACGCCACTCAGATTAGCTGCTGGAAAAGGACACATTAGAGTTGTGGAATATTTGGTCAGGAAAGGAGCTGACGTTAACAAGGTGACAAAACTGAACTAAATTTGAATTACACGCAACAACACGAAAACTTGTGTACTGTACCTTAAAAATTTGGTGATCGGCTTTCTTCTACTCTCACTCATTGTATAATTAGAAACTTGGAGATTTTTTGGTATACTAGGCTAAACATGCGCGAAACTCAACTAATTTGTCATTTGATAAAGTGATTTATAAAGCATTATATTAGAAAGAGAACATTGTTTTTGGGAAAAAGAATGAGGAGCGGTATAAACAAATTTCGGTACTTTGTACCACTAGTAACAAATTGAGCTTTTACCTTATTTTCTTCTTCTACCAAAATCTATTTTTGCTTCTCACTGATTTAGAATTAAATTTTTCATTGTGATGAAAATTTGGTATAATAGAAAAATTTTATATATCATCATTTTACATTTCGAAGTGTTTATTTTCTGTACCTCAGAAGCTCTATTGCTTATAATGCAACAAGTGGGTTTTATCGATTACGTCATGATGCGCTTTTTTAGTTTAGTATATGAAAGATAGAATAATCGTTGCGAATCTTAAAAAAAAACGGTGCTATTTTTCAAAGAATAATGCTGTCTCTCTCGTTTATATAACAAATTTCTAGCTTTAGGAAACTCCATTATGGGGAGCTTCTGAAAGAGGGCATTTGGCCGTTGTGAGATTCTTGGTGGAGAATGGAGCCGACGTCAACGCACTGAGTATGTCGGGGGTATGTGGTTATTGTAACACTATAGACTGGTTGTGCACCTAAGTTGTACTTCTCGCGTAAAG